GAAAAGCACAAACACTGCAGTTGTCTTTACTCGCAAGGACGGTCATAGAGCGCTCGTACTCCAGACTCGCGCTGTATTACTGTCTGCGTTCTTTATTTATACAAGCTTGTGTGTGTGTACAAAGATCACAAAGTTATTCTAAGAACTCAGAGCTGAGGTTCCCCTTTTCTAAGTCTGCATGTTCTTATAAAAGAGGAAGGTGTTAGTTGCTTATCACACAAGAGTTCATGTCAAAAGTCACATAGACATTTGCCTGGTCATCAATAAAAGAACACATTTCATGAAGCTGATCACACTATATACAATTTTCTTTTAACAATAACAAAGACAACCAAATACAAACACTGGGCAAAACTATGACACATTTCAAATGACCTGTAAACCATTTATATATATATATATGTATATATATATGTCACAGCATCAATCATGTAAAACAAAGTGCTCTCACATTCACAAACTTAAACGCTTGCAAATACACACACGCACACACATTATACATAACTAGTTCATTGGCCCTAGGGGGTTTCCTACCCTGTGCTTTCTCTGCCTGTGTTGTGGGACTGTGGACGGGGATCCAGGTTGTAGGCAGGCAGCTGACTCACTCTCAGGCTGCATGGCGGTGGTGTGGGGCTTGTTGTCAGTTCTCAGGGGAGCTTTCTTCTCTACCTGCATGAAAAGAGCATGTAGGCTTTAATAACTGTGACTTCCATTCAGCTTTAGACAGAGCGTGTTACAGACGACTGTAGGTTATTTTGCGATAGTACTGTACAAATTTCAAATGGAGGTTAAGTAAGCTAAAACATTTGACACTGTAGTTCTATGACATGACGGGTTTCATTATTTTTTTAGTTTGGGATCATTTAAACCATTCAATCATATAAGATTTTGACTTTCCTGATTAAATGAGTAGAATTTGAGGTAATAAAGGTTGTCACAATAACAAACTTTATTTTCCCTGAAGGAAAAAAAAAAGAATATTTCGACATAGTATCAATTCTTATTATTGCCCTGGTCATCCATGCCCACCGGCAGTGGTTCCACTCTCCATCAGTGAGCCCATTCCACAGTTTGAGTCCCACTGCTCATATTTGTTTCATTTAATGTAGTTTTCCTTTGAGGGTATAGCATATAAAAACATCCACAGCTGACTTTGCTGCTGAAAAGCAGACAGCTTAGGTTGTAGCCAGTTATGTCAGTTCAGCCATTTTGTTGGCTTTATAATTTGCAAAAAAGAAAAGAAATTGCAGGTACTGTTATAATGCACAACAACCTGATAAGACATTGGTGTGGGTAAGGGGAGATTGACTGAAATTAGTCACATTTAGCAACAGAGCACGTGAAAATGTACTGTGGTACATGAAAGTATAGCTGTGACACAGATACCATCTCAGTTTTCGGAGCTATCTTTAAAACCTACAGACAGAATGTAAATGACACTCTAAAGATTTTTGGAGTAAACGTTTCGGCAGTCTCTGCAGACCTTTCAAGTGCCTGAAATATAAGCAGAGCCTTTATTTGCATGCCTTCAGTAGCTGATGAGCAGCATACAGGATCTCTCCTCACAGACGAGTCTACTTCTTGTTAGACTTTTTTGATAGATCATTCCAGATGTCAGGCTGTTATCTACACCATGTTATATTCTGTTTTTTATTTGCATACACTGTGCACAAACAGCAAATCTGACTTTCTAATGTGATGCAAGTTCACCAAGTCCCTTGCACCAAAGTTTGTTTTCAATATTGTGTATTTTGAGGAATTAGACCACACCCAACCTCAGGCAGTATTGGTGTATAATGCATAAAATTAATTTAGACTTATTTTATTCATAAGTTTTGCAATTCTAATGTTGTTTGACTTAACATTAATAAATAACGGTTAAAAAGTTAAGTCATTTCCACATAACTGCAGTTCACACTCTCAGTTTTATATTGTTGGAACTTTAATGTATGTGCATTTTATTTTTAGTTGTGGACAGGCAGAAGTATAAATTTGAAATCGTATCCCCCCAGGCTCTCAGCACCTACTTAGTAATATAAATACTGGTTATTATTACACGACTACAATAAAAATGGAATCAGCTTTGCAAAATGTGTTTATCACCAAGCTATCACCAAGCTGCTGAGATCATTCCACCAGTCATACCACCATTCTCTGTCACTTCTCGTCTCCCAACATGATTTGAAATGAATAAGTACCAGCTGGCTGCTTTGCGTTTTGTTTTCACTGCCAGTGTAAGCTCCTTGTTTAAACAACTTGAAAATTGGTCTGCTCATTGGCCTGGTGTTTGTGTAGTTTGTTTCTATGAGTATTTCTCCAGAGTCTCCCTGGGCTTGAATTTAAATTGAGTCGTCAGTTTCTTTACACCTTGGAGGACATTCATTATGTTTTTTTGGTTTTTTTGAGTAGTTATACTGTAATTTTGTGATCTCATGCATGGATGACTCTAGTTGTATGTGTCATGTGACACAGCCGGTTACTGAGAGTGAGATAGTAAGTGTTCAGTTATACTGAAATATTGCTTTAAATGTGTAGGTGGAAAGGCTAGGATTCACCCTGTGGGATAATGTGGTGAGCTTGATGGGCCCAGATGTTTCCAGAGAAAAGAAACAAATGCTAATTACTCTGCATATCTCTAGGCATTGCACATAGTTGTTGCACCTAATATCCCCAGACACATCTCTAGCAGGAAGACTGCATTTTCTTTAAGATTTTTGCTAAATTCTCTTCAAAAATTGTATTTTCTATTAGAAATGTTATTTTCGCTTGGCTTTATGTAACCAGGGAGTTGTTGGGTAGCACCCTTGAAATCATTTCATTAAATTAAATTAATAATTTCTTAAAACATTGATAATTTTTCCTTTAAACTAACAGCCCTGAAAAATGCTTTGTGTTTTGGCATTATACAAATGGACTTTTTACTCATTCACCTGTTAGTTAAACCTTAAATCAAATATTTTAAATGAAATATTAGTGGATTTATTGTGGGGGTGAATACTGCAGTTACACTCCTTCCTTGGGCTTCTACAAGCTTATCTGTTCGTGCGCCTAAGATACATAACTTTGAGGAGGACAGACAGATCTAGGAGGGCCTGTAAGCCGTTGTATTTAGACACAACAAACAGTCTAGCACTCGGGAGACCTAAGGCTTTTCATTCCCATTTCCTGTACCAGAATTGAGGGCAGTGTTAAGGCAGCGTATTTTTCTAATGATTTAAGCACGTGTGGTTTACAGCTGACAAAGCTATAGGGCCAGCAGAGAACAGTGTCTGTGGCCCAGGTGATTTGTCATTAAATCGGGTTCATTAAGTCTGCCAGTGTTTTGCTGGGCTAACTACTGACATGGAACAGGGTTGTGAATCAGGCACAGATCCATGCCTATGGATGCCACGGGTGGATTATGGAATTTTTTGTGAAATTCACCATATTTCATGTTTCGTATATAACACACAAAGACAGTCAGGCAGTCTGTCTGAGCGGCAGACTTGGGAGATCGCATACCAGTATTGGAGAGATGAGGGCATATTCAAGTTTCACATTACGATGGAAAAGCTAGTTGAACTCAGACTGTGTTATACCACTGTGACCATATGTGAATTTTGAAAACCTGCTCTTAAAGTCTAGCTTATCCAAAATGTAAGCAGCCTGACCTAATTTCTAGCATTAGCAGGAAGAGCTGATATGGATGAAAAGAGATTATAATGCATACATACAGTTACATTTATTTAGGACAACTTTGGTGAAGTACTTTACATAGGCAATATGAAAATTGACAAAGGCAGATCTTTTATTTATTACTTTCCATGCTAAATGTTTACAAAATACAAAAAAAAAAATCATTTCATTTACAAGCATTAGTGCTTGTTGCATTGCTAAGAGTGGAGCACACACAATCTGACGTATATTCAATTTCCTCCTACAGTTCAGTGGCATACATGTTTTGTGAACTGGTGTAAATACCCTCTGAGTGTGAAAGGGGGTGTGAATATGTTTGTCTGTCTCTGTGTGTTAGCCCTGTGACAGACTGGCTGCACCTCACCTCTCAGCCAACATGTGCTGGGATAGACTCCAGCAACCTATGATCCTAAAAAAAGATCAGTGATTTTGGAAAACAAATCGATGGTTATAGGAAACTGATATTTTTATTTATTCATGATACTTGTCTAACTAACAAGCTAAAATCTTTGTTGGAGGTAATAACTGCATGCAACGGTTAAATCTCCAATATTTTGTTATTTCGTTTGAGAGTTCAACAGTTAAATGTCATTTCTTCCTCTGACAGGGTGGCATGAAAAGTGAGTTCAAGGTAAATCTTTCTTGATCATTGCGTTTGAAAAATCTGTTTTGGATTTGTTACAGTGTTTGCATTCAGTAGTACCAAATACATATAACATGATATTTTCACCTTAATGTTGTCAAATAGGTGTGATGCCCTGACTACTAGGACACAATAGCTGAAAATAGAGTTAGGTCATTGTTCAATTGGCAAACAAGCCATTAAAAAAATGATTAAGGTACATGGCACTAGGTGAACAGTTCCCCTTCTCCATATTCTTGTGTCTATGGACTGCATTTAATGTACTGATGTTGTCTTTTTGTTCAAGAATATACACATGAAAGGTACATCCCATATCTTCGTATGGTTACGTGTGAAAGAGACAAAAAGAAAAGGCAAACAAGATATCAAGCACTATTTGCAGCTGGCACTATTTTGCGACTGGTTGACTATGACTTTGTGTGACAGTTGGCCTTAAGTGGGCCAGGGAACCTTGACGTTGAATGGACTGGATTTACAGAATCATTAACCTTTTTTTTAACCTATCAATAATTTCAGGCTTGCTGCTTTTTGATTTGCCTTTAATCATCCTCTCTTTTGTTTATATGTTCTCTGATCCTATTAATTTCCTTCTCTTTTCCTTGGCCTTTCCATGCCTTCCTTCTGCTCTAACCCTCTTCTACCCTTTCCTTCCCTGCCATCCTGATACGCTTTTCCTCTCTAGCTGGGTTTGTCAAGTCTCCACTCTCAGAGACTAAGCTTACAGGAGACACCTTTGAGCTGTACTGCGAGGTGGTCGGTTACCCCACTCCAGAGATCCAGTGGTGGTATGCTGAGGTCAACCGAGCTGACTCCTTCAAGCAGCTGTGGGACGGAGCCCGCAAACGTCGGGTATCTATCAACACAGCCTACGGCACCAATGGAGTCAGTGTGCTCGGTATCACACGCCTCACACTGGAGGACTCTGGGACCTATGAATGTCGGGCAAGCAACGACCCCAGGCGCAATGACCTCCGACAAAACCCAGCCATCACTTGGATCCGCGCCCAGGCCACCATTTCGGTGCTACAGAGTGAGTGGTCTATGTCCCATAGTATCTAGATGGTCAACAAACTACAAATCCCCACTCCCAACCACTCAAGGCTGTTAAAACCTCTCAAGAGCTCACCCTCACTGCAACAGTCACTGGCCAGGCTTGAAAAAAATGAAAAAAAAAAACCCCCAACATTATTCAAATTCCTTTCTTAACTTGATTTATAACTTTATAACTCTTAACAGAAATTTTTTTTTCAAATTGTATAAATGGCTTTCTTTTTGTGTTTTGTTTTCATTAATATTAAATTAGATTTGGTAAATATTTCTGTTCTCTTTCTGTTCACTAGATTCCCTGTCTTTCCAAAATCCATTGAGCATCTTGTTGTAAATAACCACAAACCCAGGAACTTTACCCAGTCTCAATCTGCATTTTCTTCTTTCTACCCGCAGCAAACCTTTGTTCTTACTGTCTCATTTGTCCTTTTACAATATTTTGATCATTATCTATTTCTCTGTATCCTAATTCCGACCCATTTCCTATTCCTAAATTTATTTGTGATACTTATTGCTTTAACATTAAGCTGTGTCTCTTACATTGTGTGGCTTGTTTTGTTTACTTCAAAGACCTGCCTGCTAAATGCAGTGGAAATCTAGCGGTGCTTTGAAGTAATGGTGCTTTTCATTTGGCTTTCTCACTCTGGGCACGGTGCAAATGGGACTGAAAGAAGACACAAGGAGGGCTCTGCTAAGGTGTAAAACAGTGATTCCTGCTGTCAACTCCTTCCTGATAAAAGCAAACATTTTCTGCTTTCAAATTTGTGTGTGGTAATCCAATAAAGGATGGAAATGTAAGGGAGCTGTGCATGTCTCTCTCCAGATGAGACAGACTTAACTTGTACACAACAGTCCCTCTGGACCTCCCTGTGCAATGTGTTACCTTGTGCCTTCTCAGCCATGAAGAGTGTGACTGTGAATCAGTAATGACATTATATCCTTTAACCCTCTACTCAATTCACTCAAACAGTCATACAAACTGAGTTTTAACTGGACCCTTCTATCCTGTGCATGCTTCAGTGCTCTGCCCACTAGAGCACAGGGACATGTGGAATGTTGTTAGTCACAGTGAAGCTATCGGAAAAGTTTAGATGAGTCTGATTTTTGCTGGCTCTTCTGATTGGACTGACATATTTTGATTCACGTGTGAGTGCTATTTGTTAGGATTGGGGCTGATTTAATTTACGCCCTCATTTAAAATGGTGAAAAGGGCACCAGGGTTGTGGTTAGCAGTTCACTTGGGTTATTTGCATGTTATTTTCTCTCCAAATCCTTCAGGTCCTAAATATATTCTGTCATTACTGAGGAGTAAATGTTTTATCCATATACATGTAGTATGCAAATATTACATGTATATTACAGGCTATACATTATAGCCTAGCAATAGTTTGTCACTCAGGAAATGTGCAACAATCTGGTTGTCTTGTTTTTGTTTTGGTCCCTTTTTCCCTTAATTTACTTTGTTAATGTGCATCACTCCAGAGAATATGCCAAAAAGATCTAAATATGTAAATATATATGCAGTATTTGATTTCAGCTACAAGGCTTTTTTTAATTACTGAAAAAAACGAAATCTACTGCAGATACATTTGTTATTGTGTATGTGCCTAATTAACATGTGTTTAAAGTGATACTGTACCCAAAGCTATGAAACACTCAAATATTTTTTGGGTTCATAACAAATGAATAGCCATTTGGGAAATATTGATGCCACCCATGTGACTATGATGAATGCTACAGCCAGTTAGCTTAGCTTCAAATGGAAACAAAAGCAGAAAGGCTAAAGCTGATACCTGCTTCCAAGTTCACATAAAAAGGCAGTAACTGCAACCTCATCAATTAACTGAGTGTGTTTACAAAACTAGTTATTGGTAGATAATCTTTATGCTTGGCAGCTGTCTGTAGCTTCATATATTTTACACCAACATGAAAGTGGTTTGTATGTTCTCATTTGATTCTCAATGAGAAAGCGAATGAGTATATATCCCAAAATGCTGTTCTTTAACTGTAACTTACATTGCAATTCATGTTACTTACAACCAAACCCAATAGTAAAGTTTGTCACATTGGGAAAAATATCAGAATATCTGGAAAAATCCCCCCCCACACACACACACACACCAAAATATGGCTAAATACATCAGTTTTGCATTATAAAGGACTTACTCTGCTGGAGTGGCTTGAGCATAAAAGCTACATAAAAATACTTTTTGTTTTTATAATTTTGACCACTACCAATTCAAATTAAAGTTTTTTTTTCCTCTAAAAAAACAAAACAAAATACAAAACATAAATCTTTTCCATAGCATTTCAACGGTTGAGTGTTTCATACTCAGATAGCTTCACATAGAGCTTGTGTGGAGTATCACTAAAGCTAACTACACACAACAAATCTCACTGGATTTTGAGCGCAGACATACTGTACACCCAGAAAGCAAGGTAGCATCCTAACTGTCATAATGGTACGAATTGCAAAGAGATATTATTATTGTTATTATTATTATTATTATTATTGTTATTGAGTTCTTAAGAGCATTTAGCTCCACCACATGTTCAGAATGTGGTTTTCCTTGACGGTGCACCTTTCCTGTTTTAATATGCTACAAAGAAGTTATGAGGCCTGCCCTGCCCTTTAAAATGACACAACACAACTGTGACACAGCCACTGCTAAGTTGATTAGTATGTCTAAGCTGTTAAGATTATTTGATTTAATAAATCTTGGCAAACTCCAAAGCTACTTAAAAATTAAAACAGATCTGTCAAGTATCTGCCAATCAGTTTGATCTAACCATCCAACCTCAAAGTAGCACTGTATTAGAGTAGCTGCCAGAGGAAAAGACTAGGTTTTGTGATTTGGTTACATTCTGGTATGACAATATATTATCCAGTAGTTACCAGATTTTAAGTAGTGACAAGGTGTCCTACAAACAACCTCTGGTTAAATTGCCTGTGGACCATTGTGCCGTGTTTGCTAAATGTTAATTTATGTACCTCATGTTGTGCGTTTGTACGCATGACTCGAACATACTATTAATAGTTCATGTGGCTCTGCTTGGTGGGGGAGAGAGAGAGATAAGGGGGGAGGGGAGAGACTTCCCCTTAGCTATTGAGTGTACAGGATTACAGCAAGAGGGTACCACAAATGCTAACAGAAGTCAATTGCTAGTCTCAGTAGCCCTTCTTTCCCCTCTCTCTCCTTTTGCCTTGCTAGTGGCCTTGCAGAAGCAGCCAGTAGTAGGATTATGATGCTTCTCCTCTCTGCTCCTCCCCTCGGGGGCTCCATTGTTGCCATGGTTGGCCAGCCCGGGAGGAGGAGGAGGGGCAGTGGAGAGGAAGCTTCTCACTCACTACTCAAGGCAGAGCAAAGGGCACCTCGCTCTCGGATGACACCTTCCCTGATTGTCCTTGAAGAATTGACCCTGGTATTGTTTGGTAACCAGTGTGGTTAGCTATTTAAACGTCTACATATACATTCAGCTCCATAATGTCAAAAGGTCTGTTCACTTATGTAAATTATTATCTCCGATGTCTCATTTGTAAGACTGTAGATCACAATTAACTGAAAAATGTGGCCTCATGTCATATGTTACACTTCCATAATTAAGCATATATGGTTAATGCAAACCATCTAATTATGTATATATTTTTTCCTGTGGATATGGGTTAGGTTACAAGCTCAGCAAAGTTTAAGAGGCTAATAGCTGCAACAGCTCTTAAAAAAACAGTCATACTCAGGGTTACCTCTAGAAAAAGTCAAGTTTAAGAATAGGTTAATCATGAAGCACAAACAGTTTATAACACTACTGGCCCGAGAACACTCACTGTCGATCATTAATCTGATTTTTTTTTTTTTTCAGTGATGAAGTGTCTAAACTTTTGTGCAATGCACAAGTTATGTTTTGTGATTACATGCTGGTTATGATTGAGGCCCCTGATCATCAGGTACATATAATGTGATGATGTTTTCAGACAAGTTGGCAGTAGTTTAATCAGGAATTTGGGTGGTACACCATCCAGCTTTATAATTAACCTTACTGCAGATGTCAGTTAAAACGTGTCCGTGTTAGTAGAACACAGTGTGAGAGCCACAATTCAAATTTTACCTTGGTAGATCAGTTAAGCCTTCATTTTACTGCTGTAAACAAATGAAACATTCAGGTAGTACTGTGGATAATTGCTATACACAAGATTAATATTATACGCAGAGCATCCTGGTGGTTTCATGTCCTATTATGCTTTTTGTTTATTTGTTATGTGAACTTCACTTCATAGACACCCTCCTACACAGATCATATAAAAACAGAATACAGCCTACAGCAAGTACAGCATGGGAGGAAGGATAGAAACAGATTTGAGCCTTATGTTCTGGGATAAGGTTTGACTCTCTGTCTTCCAGAACCAAAGATCAATGCCTCTGATCAGACCATCTTAACAGCAGACACCTCTAGTAAACAAGTTATCCTGCAGTGTAACCTCACCACTGCCCATACACGCCACAAGGAAAGCTTCTGGATGAAAAATGGACAGGATATCCCCAACACACGGACGGAACAGAAGGACACAATATACAGGTGACACAAAGATTTTCCTCCCAGTTCCAAGTTGGACGTGCAGCGTAGGAGAGAATAAGTAATGAGATTAAGTGATTTCGGTAATGTAAAGTAAATGAGAATTCACCTACAAATTATCTAAATGATTCATGTAACCTGAAGGTTATTATTCCAGTAAAAACAGTGCCAAGTTAATCTCGCCTTGTCATATTTGTCTCTGTAGGGGACTTGAGCAGTGCTTGAAGAGCAGCACCTTGCAAAGCCAAAGTCTTACGCTAATTAGGGTCTAAGCCTGAAAGGTGACTGTTGTACAGAGTTTCAGTTGTAAACCACAGTGTAGTGACATTTCCTGTCCTACAAAAAACAGTCAGTGTGACTGTTTGTGATGAGTTTCTGTAGAAAAAGAAGAGACAGGAACTACATTAAAATTAAAATGTACATACAGTCTTACTCCAAAATACAAAGAGACAGTATTAATTATTCTCAATTTAACTTGAGAATCCAGGTAATTCAGACTTCTGTATGTGCTTGTTTTCAAATATTTTACAATTACTTATTGAAACCTGGGTTGAAATTCATTTCTGACTTCCCATTTAAAGCTTATCACTGCGTTAAATCAATCTTAAATCATATCTCTGCGTTTATTTAGAAATGAAAAAGTGAAACCTTTATTATAGCCTAAAGTACCAACTAGTTGTTGCTTCCTGTTGTCACACAGTATAATCATTGGAGCACAAAGCTACTGTCGCCCCCAAAGACATACCACAGACTCTCTCTAGCCACAAGATAAGACCAATTGGTCACTTCCTTGTCACATTACATCAGTAATACACTGAAGAGTACAGCTAAAATGCTTATGGTGCCCTTCTCTGCAGTATGCAGAGCTGCTGTTCCGTAATATAACAGCATAATGCCAACATTTGTCTCCAATGGCCTTCTGGGCTTTTACTGCTGGAGTTCAGTAAACTAATTATTAAAGTTAACCTGGAATTATTTTACATTACTTGACTGCTTAAAGTGTAAGTTACTGGTAAGTGACTGGTGGTATGGAATAATTGGTTTTGTTATATTTTTGTTGCAGAATCAACAAGCCACGTGCTGACGATTCTGGGGAATACATGTGTGTTTACACATTTGACACGGCACCAAATGCCAACGCTACGATTGAAGTAAAAGGTATGATTTCTACATGTCATAAAACAAGTCAGTAAGACAAGAATAAGATTGCTTGATGTTAGCAAACATGATATGATTGAATAATGTTAGCTGACTTCCTCCCTGGTGTATTCAGATTTTGAGAAAGCACTGACATTTTAGCTCACTGCATGATGACATGGTAATGCCATTTGTGGTTTCCCATTGAGAGATGGGGGAGTGAATGTAACCTAAAAACATTAACCACCTAAAGCTCTGTAAATAGAGCCCAAGTTTACGAAGGTGTTTGCATTCATCCAGTGCAGTCGTGATGACAGGGAGTATTCCTGAGGCTGCTGTCAGTCTTGGCTTTCACTGAGACAACACTCTAGCAAAATGGACAGGCACTGCACATGCTCTCCAAAACATGCAAATCACAAAGCCCACTTGGAGGCATCCTTATATACAGTTCACTAAAAAACTGGTTAATATTATTGTTTTTTTGTTTGTTTTGAGGTTTTTTTTGGATGGAATCAACAGTAGAGAAAATTATGAAAATGAACTAGGTCATTAGACGTAGCAGCAGGAAAGCTAACCAGAGAACAACTGTGTTGCTTTCATTCAAGCTGACAGTGAAGCCATCAACTTGAATAAGGGATTGAGTAAGGGCAAGTGAAACCCTCTTCAAGAGAAGCTTGCCTGTGTGTAGTGCTTAAGCCAATTTGCTGTGGCATGGCTATGGTGCATACTGAGCATGCCCTGCCTCTTACTCTGTGGCTGTCTTAAAGCGCTGCCTGATTACATAACATGGATGATGACCGTGTGTGTTCTGCTTGCACTGGATCGTGAGATGATGGGACACATCACTATTCAAACTGAAGTGTCCTAGCCATCACTGGACTGCAGGCCTCTGACTTTTGAAGCTTGCTATCTGTCCTGGAAGAAAAATCAGTGGGCTGATGAAAAGACTTCATCATATGCTCATTATTATTATTTTTTCCATTCAATTTTCAGATATATTTTAAACAGCCAAACATTTTGGTGTCCAGTGTGAGTACCATTGCTGGATAAAGAATTTTCTTCAGTTCTTAACTGTTTTTGTGATTTTCTAGAGGTGTTTGAGATCTCTTGTGACCCAGGTAGCAAGCCCACTGTTAAGCAAGCCAGCTTTGCACTGCACTACTGGCAGCAGTTCACTGAGATCCCTCGCCTACAGTGTCCTTGGCACACTCATCCTTGCAGGACTCAGCTCAGAGGCAACAGATGGAGGGTTCTGTGATGTTGTAGGATTAAGGCTCTGAATCCGGTCCCAGCCATCTCTGTGGCAGGAGTAGAGTTTATTGTCTGTGACACTAAGCTTACCACAGATACATATTTGGTACCTCGTATTTCACAAATTTCCTTAAATTCTAAGCACATTTCTCCTATGAAATGTCTTAATTTGAATCCTGATCCCTTTCCTCAAGAGAAATTGACAATGCAGAAATCGAGAGTCACAATCTGTGCTGTAGGTAAAATTATAATTAGAAAGCGAACTAAAGAAAGATTTAAAACTATTTAACATCTACTATCCTGACCAACTTTTAACATTTTTCTATGACCTTGCTCTTTCTAACACAGACCTCTCGCGTTCATGTGTTACCTCTGTCTAGCACACAGAGATTAATAATCACAGTCAGGAGTGTGAAATGGAGGTTTCTGTCTGTTTTTGCACCACTCCGAGGGCTGTCTCTGTGCTGTCAGTCACTGACATAATACAGTCAGGATAAGGCACAAATGAGCATAACCACTCCCCTGCTGAGGGAGCACGTGTGCTCCATAATTAGAGTGGGATGATGTCACAGAAGAGCTCAGACCCCTCCTGCTCCATCCATGCGCAGCTGAAAAATGCTCACTCCAGGCCTCTCTTATCCTGCTTAATTGCATGGAAGGAATCATTGTAATTTTTGAGGATTAGTGAAAGAAAAAAAAGGAACAGCTATTTTCTTGATGCTGTGGAGAGTTAAAAGGAGAGTTCATGTTTCACCTTTTAGAAAGACTTCTTTTCATATATCAGTATGACTTGGCACGTGTTGCAGTGCTTTATGGCATATGCCTGAATTTATTAAGCTCATAACCCCTGTTTAATTTTCATTATCAGTTAATTCATTAGTCAGAGCCAATTTGCACATTTTTTTGTGGAATTCACTGAAGAGTTTTTTGAATGGAAACATCTGGAGGCACTCATATCATACTGATAACCCTGTTCCTTTATGAATTATATCCTACTGCTTTTTATCTGTTCCAATGTGATATTCTCTAATGCGTGTTTGGGAGTAGAGTACATGCTTACAAAATAACTAAACATCAAAAATGGCACTTCTTGATAAAAGCTGTATTTCTTTGCAAACCTCTATTCTACTGAGTGAAATGCTATTTTGCACATAGGGTTTATTTTATTGCAATGTTTGCCCAGCTGAAGAGTCACAGGTGGTTAGTTTGTTTCCATATTTCGGCTGAAAGGGTGTGAGATACATTTTCCAGTGTTTTAACAACATTTTTAATCATAAAAAAATCTAAATCCACAACGTTTTGATTGCATGGCAATGTTGTGTATGAAAAAAAAGAGTAATCAAAAGAGTTAACTGGCAAATATATTGCAGATAACCATTTACCTTAGCATACCAGATCAACCGCTACTTAAGGAGAAAAATGCAAGCTTGAAATGTAAAATACAAAGTGATGTAAGACTTTTTTTTCCCCAAATGTCTTCCTGTAATCTTTCAGAAAATTTCAGAAGAAACTGAAGGAATTAATCCAATCTTAGAGTACACTAGCCTCTAAATACCCAAATAAAAACCCCTCATTTATGCCATCTGGTAGAGGTTTAAATGTTGCATTGAATGTCTTACATCAATATTGTTTTTTAATTTATATGACCTTTTCAGCAAAACCGGATATCACTGGCCACAAGCGAAGTGAAAACAAAAATGAGGGAGAGAATGCAACGCTTTACTGCAAGTCTGTCGGTTATCCACATCCCACCTGGACATGGCGTAAGATGGATGGAAAATCCCCAATGGTATATAAATATATGTATACATATATATTGCATCTTTATAAAAATGATATATTTTTTGGACAGAGAGAGGGAAGGGACATGTAGCAAAGGGTCCCAGGTCGGATTTCAACCCAGGCCGCCGCTCTCCAGCCATGGAGCGTGTGGTTGCCTGCGGACCCACTGAGCTGAACTGGCACCGCTACATATTGCATCATTTTTAAAATGATAAAAATTGACTGAGAAACAGACCGACAGGTTTAAGAACGATGAGAAAGTTATTATAAATATAATATAAATGCAAATATATAAAGGTACAACAGGGATGCACGATAGGTAGGTTTTTGGACATGCTTGCAGTTCAACTAAATTAAATGGTCATTATGTTTCAATGCAGGAGCTTGACAACTCGACTGGGCGAATCTTCATCACCAATAGAGACAATTACACAGAGCTCAACATACTAAACCTGGATATTAACACGGATCCTGGAATATATGAATGCAATGCCACTAATGCAATTGGAAATAATGCTCAGACTACAATTCTTCGAGTCCGCAGCCATCTTGCACCACTTTGGCCTTTTCTGGGTGTTCTGGCAGAAATTATAATCCTAGTAGTCATCATCGTTGTGTATGAGAAACGCAAGAGGCCAGACGACATCATCGATGGTAAGACAACATTTGCTTTTCTAATGGCAGTAAGAATCCATATGTAACTAGTAATATAGATACATTACATTCACAGTGCAACTCTGCAATTTAAAACCTGAGACATTTGTGTTGTTGCTTTAAAAATACCAGTAAATCAGAAGATCAGTAAAATTTCCCCATATATTTTAAGAAATGTAAAATAGTTCAAATTTTTTCAAATTCAAATTTTATTTGTCACACACGCACACACACAACCACACACAATATGACATGGGGGTGAAATGCTTGCAGCTGTACAATGCCCGACCATTAAATGACAGAAGAAAAGTTTTACAATATTTACAATTTACTACAAAATTTACAAATTAACTTAGGAATTTACAGTAAAGAATGTGCAAATAGCAGAAGAGATTATAAAGATTATGAATTATAGGATTATAGGAAATGTGTGGTGGTGCGTGTGGTGATGTGTGTGAGAGTCCAGTCTTATAGTGACGTGTGTGGGAGAGTCCAGTCCTACACCTGGTTCAGGGCCCGAATAGCCTGGGGGATGAAGCTCCTCCTCATTCTCTCTGTTTTGGCCTTAAGGGAGCGGAAGTGCTTCCCAGACCTCAACAGTGAGAAGAGTCCATTGTTGGGATGGGAGAGGTCCATCATAATCTTCCTAGCTTTGGACTTGCACCGCTTGGTGTAGATGGACAGCAGGTCAGGGATCTCTGATTGAATGATGCGTGAATGATTGAATGAATGAATGATTGAATGAGTTGCAATAGGGTCAAAAGTCATCGACAATGGATTGCACCCAATTTTAAGTTACTGGAACAAGGAGACTTTCAAACATGATGTTGCATTTGCTGTCAGATGGGATCTAGAGTGGCCAGCTGATTTGCCTCCTTGCTCTTGAGTGGTGTAACAAACGGAGAATGGAAGAACATATAAGGATTATATTAAGTTGGCACATGGAAATATGGCATAAATTCACATGTAAACAACAGAGGGGGGGGGCAGAGGGAGGGCACAACTCACTTCAGATAGTTGGCTATTAGTGAACTGTTCTCATGACAAACATTTGCTTGTGAAGGCAGAATACAGGAGTTCATAAACATGTAAGGTAATCAATCCATTATCAGTCCCACAGTATATCTTAACTGGTTAATTCTTGTCCCCTTCCCCTTCTTTCCAAATGGCAACATAATCTAAATGGGTGGTAAGTGAGAGATCCTGCATGACATTTTTTTTCTGTCATTTTGAATGTTTTTACAAGCCTACTGTCCATCCCAAAATATCATGATGCTTGATGCAGTTTTGAAATTTTACCACAGTCAGTGAAGTTGAACTTATACAAGTCATGGTAAAATAAAATAAACAGATAAATAAAAGTCTTATCCATTTCCATTAGGCTTATTAGTTCGACAGGCAACAATTCTTTTTTAATGGATATGGAATCTGTTTTGTATGTCTCTAAAGAGCAATTATTTGTAATCAAAGTAAAAGCCCAATCAGAATGATTGGAATCATACAATGTACATTACAAGCATATCTAAATAATTTATATATAGCCAAGTTTGAATGTTGTATTATCAAACAAAAGACTATTATGTGTATGTCTGGTGTGGTGTGGAAAATTGATTTCAAAACCACATTTAATACATGCACGTAGCTCAAGTAATTACAGAAATAAATAAATAAATATATATAGATCTATATATCTATAGATCTATGTATATCTATATATCTATAGTACCCCATAAATAAGATAATTTGAAATAAAAAAAAGTTTCTCCTGTTTCAGCTGACAGGCAGAACTGCTTGATAATAATTTGTCAAGATGACAAAGTCTGCAAAGCTCAAAGGGATCTTCAGTCACCACGGGTTCTGTCTGACCTCTACTCATGTAGATTTGTCTTCTTTTCATTTTTAAATAAGGCAAGAACACAAAAAAAGTTCAATGCCTCAACAGTTGCCCTGTTTATGTGAATCAAACCAGCTGGGTACCCCAGTTCTATGTTACACACAGACTAAACAAATATTGCTTCTGGGTACATCCCACTTTTTATTGACATAGTATGAACAAAATTAGATTTACCAAATAAAATGTGCAAGCAATAGTTAGAAAATAAGCCAACTTGATTAAATTTACATATATTAAAGTGTTTTTCAAAGTCTTGATTCTGTGACCACAAAGTCACATAGAAAGTGTTGTGTGACAGGCTTATGTATTAATCCTTAGATGGGGTCCAAAACAGTATTTGTTGATGCATTTAAGAATATTTTTTTATGTCTCAGTTGCATATATAAAAATAACCAAATGTTTTAAAATGACATGCTATTAGGAGTTTATTTCTTTAACAAACTAGAATCTGTTATATTGTGCTTAGTAATTAGAGAAGTAGAAAAAGCACAAAAATATTTCATTTTCCTAAAGTACAAACTCATAGCACATAAGAGATATGCAACTAAACCACAAGTCTAAGTAAGCTCTGTGCACAGCCTCTAGTTTGGTTTCATCTACTGGAAAATGAAGCGATTAAGGTAGATTATATTTGCCATGTTTATGCCATTCAAATCAGGAATGAGGACTTCCAGCTCACGATACACAGCCTTTTCTAAAATCTCCTTTTAGCATCCCATATTCCCAGAGGTTGCACACAGACAGGTTTTGGCCCCTGTCTGTGTGCATTATGAATTCTGGTCTCTTGATGGCTGAGCTGTTTGAACACTTTTTTCACTACACAGCCAAAGGCTCTGATGCAGGCTGACATTTCTATCGTATGTTTCGAAACCAGCTGCTAAAATTACAGATTATGCTGTGTGATTATTTGCTAAATAACAGCCCACTTTATGGCACGAAACAGATGTTGTGATATGAACCCATATCTATTTTCTTAGGTTTAAAAATGACACTTCAACTTCCACTTCAGCAGACTTGATGTGTTACCATGATTATTAATCTCACACAGTAAAAATCTGTCATTTGTTATTGCATTTGTGCTTGCAAAGCTGTAATAGTAAACATAGCTTTTGTGGTGTATACATATGAGGTGTGAAAACAGTGTTATATGCTGGCAGCTGTTCCTCCTTTAAGTACTCCCAGAACCATGTTGTTGTCTAACATTAGATCTGCCATAATTTGCTCCATTTTAATGCCATGGAATGTCGCTAATGCTGCTAATCTCAGACTTATAACTGCATGGAAAATCTCTCACTGTGACTGGCTACTTACCTGTTAACACATTTCATCTGAATGCAAAGCACCAACCCCAAGGCTGTGGAACTAACTTTTCACTCAACCCAATTTATTTTTCACAAGTTCCTCTTCTTTTGGTATTTTTTATTGTTACAATGTGGTCTACTTTACAATGTTTTACTGCACTGCCTTAAAATGAATTTTGGCAATTTTGTATGACTGACACAATTATTTTACAAAAATATATACTGCCATAAAATCTATGTTCTACTGCTTGGATTGGATAGACTCTCTATATGCTGACAGACGGGTTAAAGAAGGCGCATGATTTTTCTTTTTGCCAAATCAGCTACACTATCACGCTCATGTACCAGGCCCCTTCAAAATCACTATGAAATCGCTGAGTGTAATTAAAAGATGGCTTTAAGTGAGCCATCTGCAATCCTCCTACACATATGCTCAGCCTGAGATGAACAGGAACCCCATGAGATTCAGATGGCGTGTGAGGTTAAGTTTACAGTGTTGGGTGTTAAAGATGCTCTTTAAGGGGCAATTCCTTGGTTTTAATTCACATTTCAGTTTTGCTACTTCAATTATGTCATTGCTGACCAAGCACACATTAATGTCCAAAAACACTTTTAATGTAAGAAGCTACTTATTGCACAAAGCATATACATGCATATGAAATTCAAGCAGTTAAGCAGGTGATGCCCATATCTAACTTTCAGTGACTTATCAGTGCATGATTCTGTCATAAAGGCTTTTAGCTGTCTTCCTGCATTTTCTGAACTTTTAACTTTTTTTTTTTACTATAGCGATATGAAGAAAGATGCCAGTTTTTTTGTTTTTGTTTTGATCTCGCATTTAACTTCTCTGTGCCATTTTTGTCTTCTTCTCCCCTCTCCCCTTCAAAGATGATGAACCAGTTGGGCAAATGTAAGTAAACAAGTATCTTTATTGCCACAAATATAATTCATATGGGGATACTGTGATCTGCATGCCCATTACCTTTATGCCACTAAATTGTAAGTGCTTCTTTCCTAGGAAAACAAATTCAACAAACAACCACAAGGACAAAAACATTCGCCAGAGGAATACGAAATAAGCAATTTACTCAAGTAAGACACTGTTGTAGAGGATTGGGGCTAAATATAGAACCCACTGTGAGGATTATCCATAGTCACGCCTTCTCTTGAATTTCTCTCCACAGATGAGATGGCTAAACTGCATTTTTTTGACTACGTGAAGGTGTCAGAGGTGGATGGAGCTCTGGGCAGTTTTGAAAAAAGCATATCTTGTCTCATTTTATGAGAAACAATATCAGCATAACACTGGCAACAAAAAGAACATAATGGCTGTCTTAAGCATGCCTTATTCAGTCTTAAGTGGAGATTTCAGGATGAAGAATAATGACTAAAACCACCACAGAGGTGTACACATTTTTAATGTGCTGTTGATGTCTCCTTTCTTGATTTTATCATGTCCTCAAATGAGGTGATCCCTTTTGTATTACATATCATGTAAAATGCATGCAAGATAATTACAACGCAATAGGATACTCAGAATAGACATTTTCTGTTGTTATCCCTCGTGTGGCTTTTTTGCATCCAAAATTACCTTTTTTATGGAGTCATCCTTGCATATACATATACACATATATGTATATATATATACACATATATGTATATATATATATACATATATGTGTATATATATATACATATATGTGTATATGTATATGCAAGGATGACTCCATAAAAAAGGTAATTTTGGATGCAAAAAAGCCACACGAGGGATAACAACAGAAAATGTCTATTCTGAGTATCCTATTGCGTTGTAATTATCTTGCATGCATTTTACATGATATGTAATACAAAAGGGATCACCTCATTTGAGGACATGATAAAATCAAGAAAGGAGACATCAACAGCACATTAAAAATGTGTACACCTCTGTGGTGGTTTTAGTCATTATTCTTCATCCTGAAATCTCCACTTAAGACTGAATAAGGCATGCTTAAGACAGCCATTATGTTCTTTTTGTTGCCAGTGTTATGCTGATATTGTTTCTCATAAAATGAGACAAGATATGCTTTTTTCAAAACTGCCCAGAGCTCCATCCACCTCTGACACCTTCACGTAGTCAAAAAAATGCAGTTTAGCCATCTCATCTGTGGAGAGAAATTCAAGAGAAGGCGTGACTATGGATAATCCTCACAGTGGGTTCTATATTTAGCCCCAATCCTCTACAACAGTGTCTTACTTGAGTAAATTGCTTATTTCGTATTCCTCTGGCGAATGTTTTTGTCCTTGTGGTTGTTTGTTGAATTTGTTTTCCTAGGAAAGAAGCACTTACAATTTAGTGGCATAAAGGTAATGGGCATGCAGATCACAGTATCCCCATATGAATTATATTTGTGGCAATAAAGATACTTGTTTACTTACATTTGCCCAACTGGTTCATCATCTTTGAAGGGGAGAGGGGAGAAGAAGACAAAAATGGCACAGAGAAGTTAAATGCGAGATCAAAACAAAAACAAAAAAACTGGCATCTTTCTTCATATCGCTATAGTAAAAAAAAAA